CACAGCCGCCATCATCCATCACCGACCCGGGCACGATCTCATCAAGGCATCACAGCATGGATCAGACGCGTACCCGAGGAAGTTGAACAGGAAGGCTGGGGGGGTGGGTGTTGAGGTAGCGATGGGACCCCCCCCCCCTTAAGAGATATCCAAAAATACAAAAATACTTTACTCCTCGAGGTATGGGAAGCCTTGGCATCACACCTGCCTGGTCACGTCACTGTATCTCACTCAGATCAGTAACCGCTCTCTCGCTGATTCATATCGTGAATCCACACTACAGCTCCCACTATTATTTAAGACATACACTTTTTTTGGGGGGGGGGGAGAAGGGATACTTCATTTTATGATAGAATTTCATTGATATGTTTGTCTTAAATGCATGGAATATAAATCTGGTGAAGGAGGGAAGATAAATGAGTTTGAAAATTAGATATGATGCAACCCCTTCAGGTCTGTATTTTATGCATTAGGCATAACCTTGCCGTGATGGTCTCATCAAAATATATAACAGGTTAATGACTTGCGGAACTGTATGAATAACAAACAAGAACAGAGGGTGAGTCTTCATCTCTTCCTGATCACACCTCCTCGGCATAACTTTACACCGAGAGAACAGTTATTACTGTCCCAGCCCCAAGTGTAGACTACTGACGAACAACCTGGTTTCATTTGCCACGTTCAAGAAAGTCTAGCGGCATTGTTAACACGATCAACGACCTGAATCATTTGTTGGACAACAGCGACATAATGACTGTTAAAATTGGAGAAAGGTTTTAAACGACTTTCAACAATACTGTTTTATTTGTTTGTAAGTTCAAATTTATAATTTCAAAAAGGTACAGTTAACGCCTAGCGTGACGTTTACGTAACGCCTGAAAAGGACTCCATGGTTTATGAAACATCAAACTGTATCGAAATCGTGTTGTTTTACTCAGTGCTGTGAGGAAAGAAACATTGAAATCTCTAGCAGAAACTGAGTGTCGCGAAATGCCATCCCATTGGTCCTTATTGGTCTATAATTAATAACCTTCTTACTCACTTAAAGACCTTAGTTGTTAAGCACAGCAACGTCAACGAGCTACCAAACACTTTTTCATAGTGTCGAACCCTGGGAACTTCTCCGGGGCCCTCTCAGGGGTGCCAGCGCCCCCAGGGGTGGCAGCGCCCCCAGGGGTCATCCCAGGGGAGGCAGTGACACCACGGGCCATCCAAGGGAGGCGGCGACGCGAGGGACAATGCCAGGTGCGGTAGCTACCCCAGGGGCCCTCTCAGGGGAGGCAGTAGCCCCAAAGGCCCTCCCAGGGGCGGGGGAAAGCCCAGGGGCCCTACCAGAGACGATCCTCCACGAGCCCTATAGCTTGCTTGGTCATGGTGTCGTACATATTGCATACTTCCAGCAATCCTTTACTTAACTGTGATTGGTGGACTAAAACGTAAATCTGCAAAATATCAGCCAATAGGAGAACAAAGCAGTCAGTCAGCACAACACCCCAACTTATGTTTTCCTGTTGGATATTTATTCTCCTTTACATTGTTCATGTTAAGATGATACTGGAAATGTAATGGGCAGTGTATCTATTTAACGTCATATCTCCCATTGTTCTAAATAGTGCAGAAACGACTGCCCCCAGGGACTCTAAGGGGACAGTACCCCCTAGGGCCCTCCCAGGGGTGTCGGAAACCTGAGGGATCCTCCCAGGTGTGTCGGCGTCCAAAGGAGCCCACCCAGGCGTGACGGCGGACCGAGCGACCCTCCAAGTGCCGGCGGTGCTCTCAGGGACCCTCTCAGGGGTGACGGCGATCCCAGGGGCTCTCCTAGGGGCCCTCTCAGATGCGGTAGAGACCTCATGGGCCTTCGCAGGGGCACAGGCGGTCTTAAGGCCCCTCCCAGGGCCAGGGGAGGCGCCCCTCCAGGAGCCCTATACCTTCCTTGGTCATGGTGAAATACATATTGCATACTTCCAGCAATTCTTTACTTAACTGTGATTGGTGGACTAAAATAAAAACCCGCCAACCAACAGCCAATAGGAGAACAGAGCAGTCAGTCAGCACAACACCCCAATTTATGTTTTCCTGTTGGATATTTATTCTCCTTTACATTGTTCATGTTAAGATGATACTGGAAATGTAATAGGCAGTGTATCTATTTAACGTCATATCTCCCATTGTTCTAAATAGTGCAGAAACGACTGCCCCCAGGGACTCTAAGGGGACAATACCCCCTAGGGCCCTCCCAGGGGTGTCGGTAACCTGAGGGACCCTCCCAGGGGTGTCGGTAACCTGAGGGACCCTCCCAGGTGTGTCGGCGTCCAAAGGAGCCCACCCAGGCGTGACGGCGGACCGAGCGACCCTCCAAGTGCCGGCGGTGCTCTCAGGGACCCTCTCAGGGGTGACGGCGATCCCAGGGGCTCTCCTAGGGGCCCTCTCAGGTGCTGTAGAGACCTCATGGGCCCTCGCAGGGGCAGAGGCGGTCTTAAGGCCCCTCCCAGGGGCAGGGGAGGCGCCCCTCCAGGAGCCCTATACCTTGCTTGGTCATGGTGAAATACATATTGCATACTTCCAGCAATTCTTTACTTAACTGTGATTGGTGGACTAAAATAAAAACCCGCCAACCAACAGCCAATAGGAGAACAGAGCAGTCAGTCAGCACAACACCCCAACTTATGTTTTCCTGTTGGATATTTATTCTCCTTTACATTGTTCATGTTAGATGATACTGGAAATGTAATGGGCAGTGTATCCTATTTAACGTCATATCTCCCATTGTTCTAAATAGTGCAGAAACGACTGCCCCCCAGGGACTCTAAGGGGACAATACTCTCTAGGGCCCTCCCAGTGTCAACCTGGGGACCCTCCCAGGTGTGTCGGCGTCAAAGCCCACCCAGGGGTGCCGCGGACAGGCGACCCTCCAAGGGCCGGGTGCTCTCAGGGGCCCTCTCAGGGGTGACGGTCCCAGGGGCTCTCTGGGCCCTCTCAGGTGCGGTAGAGACCCCATGGGCCTCGCAGGGGCAGAGGCAGTCTCAAGGCCCTCCCAGGGCAGGGCGCCCCTCCAGAGCCCTATAGCTTGCTTGGTCATGGTGTCGATACATACTTCCAGCAATCCTTTACTTAACTGTGATTGGTGGACTATAATGTAAATCAAAATATCAGCCAATAGGAGAACAGAGCAGTCAGTCAGCACAACACCCCAACTTATGTTTTCCTGTTGGATATTTATTCTCCTTTACATTGTTCATGGTGAGATGATACTGGGAATGTGATGGGTAATGTATTTATTGAACGTCATATTTCCCATTGTTCTAAATAATTGCAAAACAACTGCTCCAAGGGACCCATAGGGAAAATGCCCTGGGGCCCACCCAGGGTGTCGGCGTCAGGAGGAGCCCACCCAGGCGGCAGCGGACCCAACCCTCCCAAGGGCGATGGTGCTCTCAGGCCCCCTCAGGGGTGACGGCGATCCCAGGGGCTCTCCTAGGGGCCCTTTTCAGGTGCAGCTGAGATCCCAGGGCTCTCGGGGGGCAGTGGTCTCAAGGGCCTCCCATTAGCGGTGAGCCAGGGGCCCCTACCAGAGGCACCCCTCAGAAGCCCTATAGCTTGCTTGGTCGTGGAGTCATACATATTGCATACTTCCAGCAATTCTTTACTTAACTGTGATTGGTGGACTAAAATAAAAACCCGCCAACCAACAGCCAATAGGAGAACAGAGCAGTCAGTCAGCACACTTTAACTTATGTTTTCCTGTTGGATATTTATTCTCCTTTACATTGTTCATGTTAAGATGATACTGGAAATGTAATGGGCAGTGTATTTATTTAACGTCATATTTACCATTGTTCTAAATAGTGCAGAAACGACTGCCCCCAGGGACTCTAAGGACAATACCTAGGGCCCTCCCAGGGGTGCATAACCTGAGAGACCCTCCCAGGTGTGTCGTCAAGGAACCCACCCAGGGGTGACGCGGACAGAGCTGACCCTCAAGGGCCGGCCGGTGCTCTCAGGGGCCCTCTCAGGGTGACGGCGATCCCAGGGGCTCTCCTAGGGGCCCTCTCAGGTGCGTAGAGACATGGGCCCTCCAGGGGCAGAGGCGATCTCAAGGGCCCTCCCAGGGGCAGGGGAGGCGCCCCTCCAGGAGCCCTATAGCTTGCTTGGTCATGGTGTCGTTCATATTGCATACTTCCAGCAATCCTTTACTTAACTGTGATTGGTGGACTAAAATGTAAATCCGCAAGATATCAGCCAATAGGAGAACAGAGCAGTCAGTCAGCACAACACCCCAACTTATGTTTTCCTGTTGGATATTTATTCTCCTTTACATTGTTCATGTTAAGATGATACTGGAAATGTAATGGGCAGTGTATCTATTTAACGTCATATCTCCCATTGTTCTAAATAGTGCAGAAACGACTACCCCCAGGGACTCTAAGGGGACAATACTCTCTAGGGCCCTCCCAGGGGTGTCGGTAACCTGAGGGACCCTCCCAGTTGTGTCGGCGTCCAAAGGAGCCCACCCAGGGGTGACGGCGGACAGAGCGACCCTCCAAGGGCCGGCGGTGCTCTCAGGGGCCCTCTCAGGGGTGACGGCGATCCCAGGGGCTCTCCTAGGGGCCCTCTCAGGTGCGGTAGAGACCCCATGGGCCCTCGCAGGGGCAGAGGCGGTCTCAAGGGCCGTCCCAGGGGCAGGGGAGGCGCCCCTCCAGGAGCCCTATAGCTTGCTTGGTCATGGTGTCGTTCATATTGCATACTTCCAGCAATCCTTTACTTAACTGTGATTGGTGGACTAAAATGTAAATCCGCAAGATATCAGCCAATAGGAGAACAGAGCAGTCAGTCAGCACAACACCCCAACTTATGTTTTCCTGTTGGATGTTCCTTCCTCCTTCAGCTGTTCTGGTGAGATGATGCTGGGAATGTGATGGGTAGTGTATTTATTTAACGTCATATTTCCCATTGTTCTAAACAGTGCAAAACCAACTGCTCCCAGTGACTCTATAGGGACAATGCCCCCTGGGGCCCACCCAGGGGTGTCGGCGTCAATAGGACCCCACCCAGGGGCGGCGGCGGACCCAGCGGCCCTCCCAGTTGCGATGGTGCTCTCAGGGGCCCTCTCAGGGGTGACGGCGATCCCAGGGGCTCTCCTAGGGGCCTTTTCAGGTGCGGCTGAGACCCCAAAGGCTCTCACAGGGGCAGCGGCGGTCTCAAGGGCCCTCCCATTAGCAGGTGAGCCTCCAGGGGCCCTACCAGAGGCGCCCCTCTAGAAGCCCTATAGCTTGCTTGGTCGTGGAGTCGTACCTATTGCATACTTCCAGCAATTCTTTACTTAACTGTGATTGGTGGACTAAAATAAAAACCCGCCAACCAACAGCCAATAGGAGAACAGAGCAGTCAGTCAGCACAACAACCCAACTTATATTTTCCTGTTGGATATTTATTCTCCTTTACATTGTTCATGTTAAGATGATACTGGAAATGTAATGGGCAGTGTATCTATTTAACGTCATATCTCCCATTGTTCAAAATAGTGCAGAAACGACTGCCCCCAGGGACTCTAAGGGGACAATACCCCCTAGGGCCCTCCCAGGGGTGTCGGTAACCTGAGGGACCCTCCCAGGTGTGTCGGCGTCCAAAGGAGCCCACCCAGGCGTGACGGCGGACCGAGCGACCCTCCAAGTGCCGGCGGTGCTCTCAGGGACCCTCTCAGGGGTGACGGCGATCCCAGGGGCTCTCCTAGGGGCCCTCTCAGGTGCGGTAGAGACCTCATGGGCCCTCGCAGGGGCAGAGGCGGTCTTAAGGCCCCTCCCAGGGGCAGGGGAGGCGCCCCTCCAGGAGCCCTATACCTTGCTTGGTCATGGTGAAATACATATTGCATACTTCCAGCAATTCTTTACTTAACTGTGATTGGTGGACTAAAATAAAAACCCGCCAACCAACAGCCAATAGGAGAACAGAGCAATTGATCAGCTGCTTACCCCAACCTTATGTTTTCCTATTTGAATGTTTATTCTCTTCATTGTTCATGTTAAGAAAGAATGCTAAGATTGTAATGGGCGTATCTATTTAACGTCATATCTCATTGTTCCACAAATAGTGCAGAAACGACTGCCCCAGGGACTCCTAAGGGGACAATACCCCTAGGGGCCCTCCCAAGTCATCAACAACCTGAGGGGACCCTCCGGTGTCGGCGTCAGGAGGAGCCCACCCAGAGGCGGCAGCGGACCCAACGGCCCTCCCAAGGGCGATGGTGCTCTCAGGGGCCCCCTCAGGGGTGACGGAGATCCCAGGGGATCTCCTAGGGGCCTTTTCAGGTGCGGTAGAGACCTCATGGGCCCTCGCAGGGGCAGAGGCGGTCTTAAGGCCCCTCCCAGGGCCAGGGGAGGCGCTCCTCCAGGTGCCCTATACCTTGCTTGGTCATGGTGAAATACATATTGCATACTTCCAGCAATTCTTTACTTAACTGTGATTGGTGGACTAAAATAAAAACCCGCCAACCAACAGCCAATAGGAGAACAGAGCAGTTAGTCAGCACAACACTCCAACTTATGTTTTCCTGTTGGATATTTATTCTCCTTTACATTGTTCATGTTAAGATGATACTGGAAATGTAATGGGCAGTGTATCTATTTAACGTCGTATCTCCCATTGTTCTAAATAGTGCAGAAACGACTGCCCCCAGGGACTCTTAGGGGACAATACCCTCTAGGGCCCTCCCAGGGGTGTCGGTAACCTGAGGGACCCTCCCAGGTGTGTCGGCGTCCAAAGGAGCCCACCCAGGGGTGACGGCGGACAGAGCGACCCTCCAAGGGCCGGCGGTGCTCTTAGGGGCCCTCTCAGGGGTGACAGCGATCCCAGGGGCTCTCCTAGGGGCCCTCTCAGGTGCGATAGAGACCCCATGGGCCCTCCCAGGGGCGGGGGAGGCGCCCCTCCAGGAGCCCTATAGCTTGCTTGGTCATGGTGTCGTACATATTGCATACTTCCAGCAATCCTTTACTTAACTGTGATTGGTGGACTAAAATGTAAATCCGCAAAATATCAGCCAATAGGAGAACAGAGCAGTCAGTCAGCACAACACCCCAACTTATGTTTTCCTGTTGGATATTTATTCTCCTTTACATTGTTCATGGTGAGATGATACTGGGAATGTGATGGGTAGTGTATTTCTTGAACGTCATATTTCCCATTGTTCTAAATAGTGCAAAACCAACTGCTCCAAGGGACTCCATAGGGAAAATGCCCCCTGGGGCCTACCCAGGGGTGTCGTCGTCAGGAGGAGCCCACCCAGAGGCGGCAGCGGACCCAACGGCCCTCCCAAGGGCGATGGTGCTCTCAGGGGCCCCCTCAGGGGTGACGGAGATCCCAGGGGCTCTCCTAGGGGCCTTTTCAGGTGCGGCTGAGACCCCAGGGGCTCTCGCAGGGGCGGCGGTGGTCTCAAGGGCCCTCCCATTAGCGAGTGAGCCTCCAGGGGCCCTACCAGAGGCACCCTTCTAAAAGCCCTATAGCTTGCTTGGTCGTGGAGTCGTACATATTGCATACTTCCAGCAATTCTTTACTTAACTGTGATTGGTGAACTAAAATAAAAATCCGCCAACCAACAGCCAATAGGAGAACAGAGCAGTCAGTCAGCACAACACCCCAACTTATGTTTTCCTGTTGGATGTTTATTCTCCTTTACATTGTTCGTGTTAAGATGATACTGGAAATGTAATGGGCAGTGTATTTATTTAACGTCATATCTCCCATTGTTCTAAATAGTGCAGAAACGAGTGCCCCCAAGGACTCTAAGGAGACAATACCCTCTAGGGCCCTCCCAGGGGTGTCGGGAACCTGAGGGACCCTCCCAGGTGTTTCGGCGTCCAAAGGAGCCCACCCAGGGGTGACGGCGAACCGAGCGACCCTCCAAGGGCCGGCGGTGCTCTCAGGGGCCCTCTCAGGGGTGACGGCGATCCCAGGGGCTCTCCTAGGGACCCTCTCAGGTGCTGTACAGACCCCATGGGCCCTCGCAGGGGCAGAGGCGGTCTCAAGGGCCCTCCCAGGGGCGGGGGAGGCGCCCCTCCAGGAGCCCTATAGCTTGCTTGGTCATGGTGAAATACATATTGCATACTTCCAGCAATTCTTTACTTAACTGTGATTGGTGGACTAAAATAAAAATCCGCCAACCAACAGCCAATAGGAGAACAGAGCAGTCAGTCAGCACAACACCTCAACTTATGTTTTCCTGTTGGATATTTATTCTCCTTTACATTGTTCGTGTTAAGATGATACTGGAAATGTAATGGGCAGTGTATTTATTTAACGTCATATCTCCCATTGTTCTAAATAGTGCAAAACCAACTGCTCCCAGGGACTCTATAGGGACAATGCCCCCTTGGGCCCACCCAGGGGTGTCGGCGTCAGGAGGAGCCCACCCAGAGGCGGCAGCGGACCCAACGGCCCTCCCAAGGGCGATGGTGATCTCAGGGGCCCCCTCAGGGGTGACGGCGATCCCAGGGGCTCTCCTAGGGGCCTTTTCAGGTGCGGCTGAGACCCCAGGGGCTCTCGCAGGGGCGGCGGTGGTCTCAAGGGCCCTCCCATTAGCGGGTGAGCCTCCAGGGGCCCTACCAGAGGCACCCCTCTAGAAGCCCTATAGCTTGCTTGGTCGTGGAGTCGTACATATTGCATACTTCCAGCAATTCTTTACTTAACTGTGATTGGTTAACTAAAATAAAAATCCGCCAACCAACAGCCAATAGGAGAACAGAGCAGTCAGTCAGCACAACACCCCAACTTATGTTTTCCTGTTGGATATTTATTCTCCTTTACATTGTTCATGTTAAGATGATACTGCAAATGTAATGGGCAGTGTATTTATTTAACGTCATATTTCCCATTGTTCTAATCAGTGCAGAAACGACTGCCCCCAGGGACTCTAAGGGGACAATACGCCCTAGGGCCCTCCAGGTGTCGGTAACCTGAGACCCTCCCAGGTGTGTCGGCGTCCAAAGGAGCCCACCCAGGGGTGACAGCGGACCGAGCGACCCTCAAGGGTCCGGCGGTGCTCTCAGGGGCCCTCTCAGGGGTGACGGCGATCCCAGGGGCTCTCCTAGGGGCCCTCTCTCAGGTGCAGGTAGAGACCCCATGGGCCCTCGCAGGGGCAGAGGCGGTCTCAAGGGCCCTCCCAGGGGCGGGGGAGGCGCCCCTCCAGGAGCCCTATAGCTTGCTTGGTCATGGTGTCGTACATATTGCATACTTCCAGCAATCCTTTACTTAACTGTGATTGGTGGACTAAAATGTAAATACGCAAGATATCAGCCAATAGGAGAACAGAGCAGTCAGTCAGCACAACACCCCAACTTATGTTTTCCTGTTGGATATTTATTCTCCTTTACATTGTTCATGGTGAGATGATACTGGGAATGTGATGGGTAGTGTATTTATTTAACGTCATATTTCCCATTGTTCTAAACAGTGCAAAACCAACTGCTCCCAGTGACTCTATAGGGACAATGCCCCCTGGGGCCCACCCAGGGGTGTCGGCGTCAATAGGACCCCACCCAGGGGCGGCGGCGGACCCAGCGGCCCTCCCAGTTGCGATGGTGCTCTCAGGGGCCCTCTCAGGGGTGACGGCGATCCCAGGGGCTCTCCTAGGGGCCTTTTCAGGTGCGGCTGAGACCCCAAAGGCTCTCACAGGGGCAGCGGCGGTCTCAAGGGCCCTCCCATTAGCAGGTGAGCCTCCAGGGGCCCTACCAGAGGCGCCCCTCTAGAAGCCCTATAGCTTGCTTGGTCGTGGAGTCGTACCTATTGCATACTTCCAGCAATTCTTTACTTAACTGTGATTGGTGAACTAAAATAAAAATCGGCCAACCAACAGCCAATAGGAGAACAGAGCAGTCAGTCAGCACAACACCCCAACTTATGTTTTCCTGTTGGATATTTATTCTCCTTTACATTGTTCATGTTAAGATGATACTGGAAATGTAATGGGCAGTGTATTTATTTAACGTCATATCTCCCATTGTTCGAATGGTGCAGAAACGACTGCCCCCAGGGACTCTAAGGGGACAATACCCCCTAGGGCCCTCCCAGGGGTGTCGGTAACCTGAGGGACCCTCCCAGGTGTGTCGGCGTCCAAAGGAGCCCACCCAGGCGTGACGGCGGACCGAGCGACCCTTCAAGTGCCGGCGGTGCTCTCAGGGACCCTCTCAGGGGTGACGGCGATCCCAGGGGCTCTCCTAGGGGCCCTCTCAAGTGCGGTAGAGACCTCATGGGCCCTCGCAGGGGCAGAGGCGGTCTTAAGGCCCCTCCCAGGGGCAGGGGAGGCGCCCCTCCAGGAGCCCTATACCTTGCTTGGTCATGGTGAAATACATATTGCATACTTCCAGCAATTCTTTACTTAACTGTGATTGGTGGACTAAAATAAAAACCCGCCAACCAACAGCCAATAGGAGAACAGAGCAGTCAGTCAGCACAACACCCCAACTTATGTTTTCCTGTTGGATATTTATTCTCCTTTACATTGTTCATGTTAAGATGATACTGGAAATGTAATGGGCAGTGTATCTATTTAACGTCATATCTCCCATTGTTCTAAATAGTGCAGAAACGACTACCCCCAGGGACTCTAAGGGGACAATACTCTCTAGGGCCCTCCCAGGGGTGTCGGTAACCTGAGGGACCCTCCCAGTTGTGTCGGCGTCCAAAGGAGCCCACCCAGGGGTGACGGCGGACAGAGCGACCCTCCAAGGGCCGGCGGTGCTCTCAGGGGCCCTCTCAGGGGTGACGGCGATCCCAGGGGCTCTCCTAGGGGCCCTCTCAGGTGCGGTAGAGACCCCATGGGCCCTCGCAGGGGCAGAGGCGGTCTCAAGGGCCGTCCCAGGGGCAGGGGAGGCGCCCCTCCAGGAGCCCTATAGCTTGCTTGGTCATGGTGTCGTTCATATTGCATACTTCCAGCAATCCTTTACTTAACTGTGATTGGTGGACTAAAATGTAAATCCGCAAGATATCAGCCAATAGGAGAACAGAGCAGTCAGTCAGCACAACACCCCAACTTATGTTTTCCTGTTGGATATTTATTCTCCTTTACATTGTTCATGGTGAGATGATACTGGGAATGTGATGGGTAGTGTATTTATTTAACGTCATATCTCCCATTGTTCTAAACAGTGCAAAACCAACTGCTCCCAGGGACTCTATAGGGACAATGCCCCCTGGGGCCCACCCAGGGGTGTCGGCGTCAGGAGGAGCCCACCCAGAGGCGGCAGTGGACCCAGCGGCCCTCCCAAGGGCGATGGTGCTCTCAGGGGCCCCCTCAGGGGTGACGGCGATCCCAGGGGCTCTCTTAGGAGCCTTTTCAGGTGCGGCTGAGACCCCAGGGGCTCTCGCAGGGACGGCGGTGGTCTCAAGGGCCCTCCCATTAGCGGGTGAGCCTCCAGGGGCCCTACCAGAGGCACCCCTCTAGAAGCCCTATAGCTTGCTTGGTCGTGGAGTCGTACATATTGCATACTTCCAGCAATTCTTTACTTAACTGTGATTGGTGAACTAAAATAAAAATCCGCCAACCAACAGCCAATAGGAGAACAGAGCAGTCAGTCACCACAACACCCCAACTTATGTTTTCCTGTTGGATATTTATTCTCCTTTACATTGTTCATGTTAAGATGATACTGAAAATGTGATGGGCAGTGTATTTATGAACGTCATATCTCCCATTGTTCTAAATAGTGCAGAAACGACTGCCCCCCAGGGACTCTAAAGAGACAATACCCCCTGGGGCCCTCCCAGGGGTGTCGGTAACCTGAGGGACCCTCCCAGGTGTGTCGGCGTCCAAAGGAGCCCACCCAGTGGTGACGGCGGACCGAGCGACCCTCCAAGAGCCGGCGGTGCTCTCAGGGGCCCTCTCAGGGGTGACGGCGATCCCAGGGGCTCTCCTAGGGGCCCTCTCAGGTGCGGTAGAGACCCCATGAGCCGTTGCAGGGGCAGAGGCGGTCTCAAGGGCCCTCCCAGGGCGGGGGAGGCGCCCCTCCAGGAGCCCTATAGCTTGCTTGGTCGTGGAGTCGTACATATTGCATACTTCCAGCAATTCTTTACTTAACTGTGATTGGTGGACTAAAATAAAAATCCGCCAACCAACAGCCAATAGGAGAACAGAGCAGTCAGTCAGCACAACACCCCAACTTATGTTTTCCTGTTGAATATTTATTCTCCTTTACATTGTTCATGGTGAGATGATACTGGAAATGTGATGGGTAGTGTATTTATTTAACGTCATATCTACCATTGTTCTAAATAGTGCAAAAACGACTGCCCCCAGGGACTCTAAAGGGACAATGCCCCCTGGGTCCCACCCAGGGGTGTCGGTAACCTGAGGGACCCTCCCAAGTGTGTCGGCGTCCGAAGGAGCCCACCCAGGGGTGACGGCGGACCGAGCGACCCTCCAAGGGCCGGCGGTGCTCTCAGGGGCCCTCTCAGAAGTGAATGCAATCCCAGGGGCTCTCCTAGGGCCCCTCTCAGGT